GTTCGTCGTTGAATGACGTGGTCGCAGGGGAGAAGAGCTTGCGGCTTGTATTGAGCTGCGCGTGTATCTCAATGCCGACGGTCAACTCCCATCCGTCCACGGTCTGTAAGTCGCCTTTTGACTTCTTCCTTCCCTGTTTCTTGGCCAATTTCGCCTCTTCCTTAAGTTGTTTCCGCAAAGGGACCTTTGGGACTTTTGGCTCAGCAGTTGGCGCTGCAGATGGAACATGAAGCAGTGCACGTAGCCGACTAAGCGATCGCAGAGTTACACTATTGCGCCCAAGACCATGGCAAGCGGCCAAGCAGCCTCTTTGGGGAAGCCTCCCCTCCAAGACGTATCTTCCTACGTCTGCAATTCGAACTCGACTCATCGCTTCATTTGAATAGAATGAGACGTCTTCCGTTCATGTGTCGGTTCGAACCAGGCCCGCTGCTGGGCAATGGTCGAGGAAGCTCGTTGTTGTTCGAAAATGCCAGTACATGCATCGGCGGGATCTCTCCTGCATGAAGCAGCCTCCTTGAGTGGCCAGGGGGTCTGAACGGGATGCAGCAATGCAGCTAATACAGAGACTGCTGGTGCTTCGGCTTCGACGCAAGTCGCGTCGCGTCGCGTCGGTAGAAAAAATGGAAAAGTGACGAATGGCAAATGACGAATGACGAATGACGAAACTGGTTGATAACGTAGCTCTTTTCGATGTGCACTTTTTCTTGCGACTCGGACGGAAGCAAGCGAAGCTGTTGCGGGGCCCAGACCAATGCCCAGACCAATGACCACCACCTGCCGGACAAGTCAACAACCGCACCCAACCGCCCAACCGCACTCACCCCAGTCGCACTGCTTCTCCTCTCGTCTCTGAATTGCAATCCCTTCTTTCCATTTTCTATCGTCTTGCGCGACAGCTATGATGATGGCTTTGCGTCAAACCCACCCCCGACTTTGATCCTAACATCATGCATGAGCTACGCAGCTTGGCAGCTTGGCCAACGAACTCGTCTGACACCCTACCACTCGAACCACGAAAGGTGGCTAAGCGGTAATCTCCTCCGACAACTACCATCATTTGTGAGCATTTGAGGGAAATAGCGCGCGTCGGGCATCGTTGGGTATGTCCAGATGGGACTATAGTCTTGTGTCATATCATGCATCAGAGGGAACAGGCCCCGGCTTCGTCGGGTTGTCTGATTGTCCATTGACCAGAAAGCCCAAGGATGATGCCATGACTTGGAGAAGAAGATCCTTGGGCTCTTGACGAACAGCAAGCACACCAAGCGGACCATTTGTACCAAGACAAAGAGCATGCGTCTGCGTCTGCGTCTGCGGCTGCGTGCATGGGACATGTCGATGCATCTCTTATCCGTCAACACGTGTCATTGCCTCACTATGCGTCACTTCGTGGCCGTCACATAGCGTCGTTCGCCCGCGCAATGGGCGCCTGCAGCCCCTATACGTGCAGCGAGCGAATCTCAACGAGTAGAGATTTGTTCATTCTACGTCCGTACGATGTGGTCTATATCCATGCTCATGTACCCCGTATCTCTCAGAGGGCATGCAGTTCCAACCGGTGCGTCATCGAATCAACTTGCAGGATTGCCCGTGGTGTAGACACAAGGGTCCTTGTCCAATATATGGCTCATAGGTAGTTCTACCACTGACTCTGTCGCTCAGTCTGTTGAAGGGCTCACCCAGACTACTATTTCAGCTACTTGAAATGATTGCTACAGTCGTCATCGTCGTTTTTCCAGCCTCTCCTCCCCCCTTCCCAACCACACCGGTCTCCCCACTCCTACACGACAAAAACTTGGAACGAGGCAACAATTTATCCACCAGTTTGATAGAATGAGTGCAGAAAATGATGATAGCAAGACCGCAGACGAGTCGATCCCTTTTCCCAACATCCAGCTTGTCGAGAATGGCGAAGGGGCTTCTCTTACACCAGAAAATGAAGTGGAAGCCCCCTCGACACAGCAAAATGAAACCGAAGCAGACGGTCCTCCGGAATCTGCCCATAATGGCAAGTGCTGTGGTGTCTTAGTTCAGACACCATCACCTCCCTCAAAAATCGTATCACCTCGCCCATCACCTCATTTTCCCGGCAGATCCCTCATTACAGCTGCAGTAGAAGATTGGGAAGAAGACGATTCCCACGATCATCCCGACTACACCCCACCATCGTCTTTCTGTGTTACCACACCTCCTGTTATTGAGGCTTCACTCAGCCCAGGCGTACAAGACAAGATCATCAAAGCTGTCAAATCAGAGACGTACCTGCAAGACCACAGAGATGAGTCACGTCGACGGCCGGTCGACTCCTCAGATATGTCTTTTCAACAAACTGCCCAGCAGAATACATCGAGACGTCGGCCGAGTGTCATGGACTACCTGGTTTCACACGGACCTGTCAAGTATCCAATGTCAACGTCGCGAGCAAGCAGTCCTACGTCCCGTAGGGTAGTTTCAGAGGGACAACTCTGGCAAGGACACGATCGCATACCGACTCATGGGGGACAGCCCTACGTCTATCCCAGCTACCAAGGGGACGACAGGAGGCAACAGATCGGATGGGCCGCTCAACAACCTCCTTTTCGGTTTGGTGAAAAAACTCTGAATGTTGACGAGGATCATGGCTCAGAAGTATCACACAGGAGGGGGTTCAATCAACCTTGGGAACATCATGGCCCGGCTGCACCATCCTCCAATATCAGTGTATCAAATAGTGATGATCGCGCAGACGTCTTCACAGGAGCAGTCTATCCCGAGTTCGTTAATCGTCTGGACAATATGGCACCTAGCGGCTACCATCTCCTGGCGACGAAGTTGTCTGGCGATTCCTGTGGCCAGCCCATCACGCCCATCTATCGCCGGTTTGATGCTCTAAACCACCGTCTGCTATTGTACATGCAGGATGAGATTGCTGATCTAGAACGTCAGCTCATCGTGTTGGAAGCCAAAGACACGGTCAAGAGAAGCTACGCAGGTGGGGTCATACCCGCGTCCCGGCGTCAAGATCGATGGATCAATGGCAGCTTGGCAGACCAAAAGACTGAGATACTCGGTCTCATCGGCTACAAACTGAGCCAGTACAGTAAGATTCTGATCCCTTGATTCGACGACCAAAGCCATTGTGTTGGATCTCGCAGCTAACACTGTCATAGACCAGGTTCTCGCATCGTTTTGCAAAGTACAAGTCATTCCGGCACCAACATGGCGAGATGTCGACATGTACAAAACCTACCTCACCACTAGCAAGCTGATTGTGGACGATGAAACGAGGTTCCTTGACGCTTCAAACGACCTGATCTCCTTGAACACACCAAGCCAACCCGTAGATGACTTCAACAGAGCGGCGGACGGGCCAACACCAATGCCCAAGACAGCTGAAGATCAACAGTCTGACAGCTTCTTCAAGGACAATGGCATCTCGCCATCTACACGGCTCGACCAAGATACAACAGCAAAGCCAGACGACGCGCTGTTCGTGCGACTTGCCCTGTCTGGTACGTGCATCGTAATTGTGCCTATCACAATCTTTTCAGTTATACCTAGTCTCATAGGGCGTATGGCGATCGTTCTTCTCGTTGCACTCAGTGTCAGCATCATGGTCGATCAATCAGGCCTGTTCTCAGGGGCCGAACGGCACAAACGGGACTGGATCGTGTATTTGGGTTTATACTGTGGTGCTATGGCTGTGGTGGCTGGGGCAATGAAATGAAAGTTTTGACGTTGGTGGGAACCTATTTGGAGTTTCTTCTTTCTCTTATTCTTCAACGTCTGATTTGAAGTTGTGCCGGGTAGATCGTACCCCCAACTGAGCCATGAAATGTCATCTCCGTGTAAAGTCAAGCTGTTTTTTGCTGTGGAGACGTTCTTTTTATTTTCAAGCAACTCCAACAATATCGGACTTGCTGAGACTTGCTGAACAAGACACGCGAGAAATGCACATGGCGCACATGACTTGGGCTCATCCAGCTCTCCCTATAAAAAGGAAGCACACGACGTTTTATTTGTACGCAAGAAATTCAGCTTCAGTTGTACATAGACGTGGTCACTGTTGATTGGCGCGTTGCTTTCCAGATAATTGGTCCGGTCCCCTAAAGAGAGTGATAAGATATCCCTTTGGTGATTTGCGCGTTTCGGCGTCATCGGCGAACGAAGCGTCATTTGCGATCTCTCTGGTCCTAGGCTTGTGAGGAGTTGTGACAACTTCGCCGCCGCAAAGGCCACATCTGGCCTGACCATTATCGCGGTGTACAGGATTGATCCAATCCTCTCTCGGTAGATCCTGTAAACCATCACAGGTATGGAATGATGCAAAGAATGGAAGAATAAGATGATAATTGACTATCTAGGAAATCTATCAGAAGCACAGAGAAGCTCTATATAAGCTTAAAAATCTATCAACGAGGAACAAAGAACCTGATCAATGGAAGGGTTGGTTAACAAACGATGCACAGCACGGATCACGGTAACAAACGCGATACGGGAGGCTGCAGCAACACAGGAAAAGTGATGCCTACGATGTGAGGTTGCGATATCCAACACCGAGGGGTATCTTATCGCTCTCTCTGGAGGACTAATTATCTGGAAAGCAACGCGTCAATTAACAGTACCCACGTCTATGTCATGACTTATGCCTGGGTTTGTAAACAGAGTGAAGGTTAGGATTCGTAGTCGCTGCTAAGAAGCTAGTAGCTAGGGGTGGTGGCGTGAAGGTCTCGATCTCTGACCTCTCCCATACAATGTGAGCGGTAGAGATGCTAGATAATGGTTTGATAAAGCCATTAAACCATTATTAGCAATTTAAACGAATTAGAGCTGTGCTTAGCATAGTGGATTCACGCATATAACGTCACATTCAAAGCGCATAGATCACATCACAAGCTGGCCCTCCCTTTAAGCAGCAAGGCGAAGCCGACTGGCTGAACCGATCCACACCTCCATACGCCAATTTTGTAATCCCATTATTTTTACAAATAACAAGCCCGGTTCCAACGCATCGCTTGGGGCGAATGGTTTAGTGGTATAATACTCCCTTAGCATGACTTTCGCATCTGGGAGTGGTCCAGGGTTCGATTCCCTGTTCGTCCATTGTGTTGGTATCGATTCTAGTGCGTGCGATGTGTTGTGTTTTGCTTGCCCTTCATACTTTTTTGTTCTTGTTCGTGACAAGAATCACGTTTTTCAAGCGATTAGCTTCGTGCAACGCTAATCTAATTGGGCGAATGGTTTAGTGGTATAATACTCCCTTAGCATGGTTTAAACTAACTAAGTTGTTTGGGAGTGGTCCAGGGTTCGATTCCCTGTTTGTCCAGAGCGTCATAATGTTACGTGCTTGATTTTTTGAGCAGTTTCAATTTCCTTGTGTACAAGGCCCGTGACAGTGGGCTGTCTTTGAGGTTCAGATATCGCTTGTGTTCCTTTTTGCGAGTAGCTGTTGTGGATTATCGATTGAGCAGGGAACATGTGCTTATTACTTTGCATATTTGCTCTCTCTTTGGCGCATTCTGTTTTTGGCTTTACGTAGCTTGTTATATATTCCGTATTGTTTCGTGTTAGATACGGGTCATGTGCGAAAGCAAGTAAAACTTTGACCTTGCCTACCCTGTAGCTCAAGACGTCGGTAGAGGGATGGTCATTTATCACGTTCCTTGTAGTTTTCTGCAGTTAGACATTTTGTTAGCACATTGATTCTTTATAGGTATCTGTGGTTTGTATTCGATGTCAATGGATTGATCAGGCGTTCGATGGCAGTTTCGGCAGCCCCACTTGGAGTTCTACGTTGGCTACTTGGGTGGCTGGCGGGGCACAGGTTCAAGGAAATTCTGAGGGGACTGGCGGGACATAATAATTTGTGACTCAAGAGATCCCAATCCACCACCATATCAAGGGGCCATCATCAACGATAGTTTCCCGCTGTCGGCGTCGCACAGTCTCTTGCCCACACACGGCCACGGATTCATCCCATCATGGCGGTACAGACTAGCAGCCCTGCGGGGGATCTTGCCCACCAGATCCTCCATGCGCTGGACAAGCAATCACCCCTCCTCTCCTCCGAAGCCTTCCCCGCGACACCCTCTACCGAGGTCAAGGGTGCTCTCGACAGACTTGCCTCGCGCGACATGGTCAAGTACGAGACGATTGACCGAGAAGAAGCTCTTTTAGAACCCGAAGGCGAGCAAATTGCCGCCAATGGAAGTCACGAAGCCCGCGTTTTTGAGGCCCTGCGCACCGCTGTGGAAGGCTTGACCATTCAAGAGCTCGAGACGGCCATCGGTGACAAGAATGTCGTCAAGATTGGCCAAGGTAGGGCCTTCAGAGAGAAATGGATCTCAAAAACGTCAGGTGAGTTTTCTGGGTCTTTTTGTTCTTGGGTTCTGGTGTTCTAGTGAAATATGGCCTGCTCAATGTTGAGGCTAACGTGGCCGATATCGCAGACGGAAAATTTAAAGCGGCCGTGAGTAAAATTTACACGCAAGGACATTCTTGCGTGATCCAGAAATATGGCGGCTAATGTGGAAACCCATTGCCAGAAAGATTCCATTCAAGACACTACCAAGGACCAGATGCAGACCATTCGGTCAACGCGGACGTACCCTGATGCCAAGATGCTGGCCGAATTGAAGAAGCGCAAGCTTGTCCGAACACAGAAGATAGTTAGTTTCAAATTCGAAAAGGCCGACAAATTCGCCCTCAAAATCCCCGAGGTTGCTACCGATTTGACCGCCGACATGATTGCCAGCGGTTCATGGAAGACTGCCACTTTCAAAGGATACAACTTCAAGGCTTTGGGTGCTGATCAGCAGTCTGGAGCTTTGCACCCTCTGAGCAAGGTCCGATCTGAGTTGAGACAGATTTTTTTCGAAATGGGGTTCCAGGAGATGCCTACAGACAAGTAGGTTTACCTGATGTGGTTCCGGGCGTCTCAGTCCGTTGCTAATGTGATGGGTGTTAGGTTTGTCGAATCTGGCTTCTGGAACTTCGACACCCTTTTTGTTCCGCAACAGCATCCTGCCCGTGACATGCAGGACACCGTAAGTATTTGAATATAGATATTGGAAAGCCGTGACGGTCGGCGCAGGAGGCTAATGCTACTTGTAGTTCTACGTCTCGGACCCCAAGGTGGCGGATATGCCCAGAGCTGAAGATCCCAATGACAAAGGTGACTACAAGGCTTACTGGGATAACGTCAAAGAGGTGCACCAGGTACGTATACAAACAAAGAGCACCAACGTTGGCATGGCAAAGGTTTTAATTCTGGGGCATAGAACGGAAAATACGGCTCGATAGGTTACCGATACCCTTGGTCTGGAGAAGAGACCCGAAAACTCGTGCTTCGAACGCACACTACATCCATTAGTGCCAACATGCTGTACAAATTGGCGCAACAAAAGGGTCCCGATGGCCGCCCGCCTCCAGCCCGCTACTTCTCAATCGATCGCGTGTTCCGTAACGAGACTGTGGACGCCACTCACTTGGCTGAGTTCCACCAGGTTGAGGGTGTCATTGCTGATTATGACCTGACCCTGGGTGGGCTAATGGAGGTGAGATACCTGATATACACTGCCAGCCGAACCTACGGGAACGAAGTGACTAAATTTTGACAGTTTATGGACATTTTCTTCGGCAAGATGGGCATCACGGATCTCAAATACAAATGTGCCTACAACCCTTGTGAGTGCTCTTGATGATGTTCCGACATGCTCTGCATTAATGATATTAACTGAGTTCGGCAACAGACACTGAGCCTAGCATGGAGATTTTCTCTTATCGTGAGTGCCTTTTTCTGCGGTCGATTGATATATGAAGGGAAGAAAACATTGCTAACCCACGATAGACAAGGGACTTGGAAAACTGGTTGAAATTGGTAACAGTGGCATGTTCCGAGCCGAAATGTTGGAATCCATGGGCCTTCCGTAAGTTATGGAAATACCATTTCTTCGTTCAACACTCGAGGCTGACTGTCCATGCAGCAAGGATATGCGAGTCTTTGGCTGGGGTCTATCACTTGAACGACCCACGATGATCAAGTACGGCATTTCCAACATTCGCGAGTTGCTGGGTCACAAAGTTGATCTGAACTTCGTGCGGAACAGCCCCGCAGTGCGTTTGGACAAGGAGTGAATCATGGTAATGAATAGAAGCAAGGAACATTTAGCACAAGCAACTGCGTTTTACTTTGACATGATGGAAAGGGGAAATCGGTAGAGATAAAGACGAACAGTCGTGATGGCCGTTGAATACCAGGAATGATCGAGGCGATAACACGATGTTTCAATACCAGGACTCTTGGTTCTACACTTGTTCAAGTCTACAAGGAGCAGTCACTCTTTCAGGAACAACAATCGTAACTGCACCAGCACGGCTAAGCCAACGTGCGACATTCCGCGCCTCTGCAATCTGCGAACCGCACTCTCCGCGCCCTTCCCTGCCTCCCAGCGAATAGGAGCATTTGCCCCGCGATCTGCTCCGTACAACAACCACGTCTGACGTCGTTGTCATGACATCATGCATGCACCTATGTACTACCAGCCCGCTTCCAAAACAGCGTCATCCAAATAAGCAGGGTCCCACAACTCCGGATTCCTTATAAGAATAAACATCCGTACATATTCCACCTTTCGGTCTTTGCATCAACCCAATTTCATCAAATTATTAACATCTCCGCGAATACGTCCAACCGCACATCAGAACTTTTACATCACAACACAATGTCTTTCCTCACAGAACGTACCGTGCGAGCTGTCCTGCCCATGTGCAGAAGCATTGCGGTCCAGGCTCCCCGAGCATTTAGCACGTCACCCGCGTTGAGGAAAAATCCCGTGGAGAGCGTCAAGGACGGACTGAAGACGGTCGATCGAGCTGTCACTGATAATGTTGTTCTTCCCGGACTCGAAGCTGCTGGTATGTCTCGACTCACTGTCTCGAATTGGACGAGATAGTCTTAGATGACGTGTACTAAACGTGCTTTTCACAGCTTCTGCCGGAAACAAAGTCAAAGAGGGTGCCGAGACCGTCACGAAAGGCAACAAGGGCAAGGTCGATGAGTTGAAAGGTCAAGTGCAGGGCGAAGCCGAGGTGCTGAAGGGTCAGGCCAAGGGTGCTGCGGCCGCGGCACAAGGCAAGGCGAAGGGTGCGGCGGAGAACTTGAAGAATAAGCTGTAGAATATTCATGCGGGACAATCTGATCTTTTCGAGATACAAGTGCTGTTCTCGATGGAGTTTTGTGTTTGCACGGTGAAAGTGTAATGCATTCATCCATATAGCGTGTGGGAATATAACAAATATTATACATTGTCATTGTCCCTTGACAAACGACGATGCAAACACTGCTTTAATGTCGAGACTTAATGGACACCAAGTTGTCAATTTGACGCATTCCCATATAAGAATTTGCCTGTCATTCTCTATTAAGCCAAATGCACACCCGCATAGACCTCCTTGATACTGAGCGATGGAACGAGGAGGAACATAACAAGGGCCAGCCAAAAGGCGCCGTAGGAGCAATGGACAATGGCTCAGGTGTTGCCCGCACGAAACTCCATGATGCCGGCGGCGAGAGAGCGGAGACGGCTTTGACTGGTGCGGTTTGTTTATGCGTTGGACCGGTGTGAGTGACGGGATCGTGGTGGCCGTTGGCGGCGTGGCCACTTGTCGGTGACAGCATAGACACTGTTCATGAGGTCCTTTTATTTCATGTCAACCCGCGTAAAACACTTGGCTGCCCTCTTTCATCCTCCATATTTGCTTGTCCGCGATCCGAATGAATTGACCGGGATGAAGTGGCCGGAAGTGTCTGTCTGGCTGAAGTGCTGGCTGTTGTTGAGTGGGGTTGCTTTCCTCGACAAGGCAAAATGAAAGCGTCCCCGCTTTCCACAAGATGACGGCGACTTTTTCACCATTTTGCCACATCATCACTTTGCGCTTCACGTCAACATCGTAGACGACCTGTTCACTGTTCACACCCTCGGTCCGCGCCCTATGTATGCCGGAGGTCTTATCGATACGACACGATACGAAACGAAACGAAATATCATGTCATCACATCTCTGTAAACATGCCGTTCAAAACTCCATCTGCTCCACAGCAGCGACCCCCCGCTTCGTCAAACGCTTCTCGTCATCAAGGATCTCCCACCCCGCCAGAGGCAGGACAAGATGCTACGCGACGCAACCACCAAGGGCAGAGCCATCAGATCAGGTCCCGCCGTGGCCGCGAGCAACCTCCCCGACTCCTTACGAGATCTTGGATACAAAGCGAGGGGCACCGTACACCAAACGCCGCTTCTACCAACTAGTCAAGCTGTACCACCCA